TTCTGAAGTTCTAAACGATTACTCAGAATATTGAGGGGGGAAAATAAACTACAAAATTCACGCAATTCCCAAAGTAGCGTGGACAATGGTAATGCAAAATTTTGGACTTTTGAAAGATCAAACAAAATCCATTTGCAAAGTAAAATTCTCAAAATTGTAAGATCAAGTATAAAATTATAAATTAACTCCAAGGGGTTAGTCTAGTGGTAACTCAATCACCTGATAATCGTGTTCGCAGACATTGGTCAAGAATTCGAATATCTCACAAAGCGTTAACCCTTTTGGGGTCACTGCCCATAGATTTATACTTTGTTTGGAGAGACGGTTTTACACAAGGTTCAAAACTAGTCTAGTGAGTGAGTGAGTGAGATAATGTACTGCTGTGATTCATTGGGATCTGAGTTACTAAAAAAAGTGTAAAATTAAGAATTCGAAATACAACTTTTTTTGTCCAAAAGTCGCATGTATATTTGTTTATTGTCGTTACCGAAAAGGTCCAAATTAAAGTTGGGAATGAAAGCAGTTAACCACCATTTAACTAACACAATAATAAAAAAAAACTAACACAATAATAACCAGGCAAGCACCCTAACAGATAACTATCATCTCATTAAGTAGTGCCATAACCACTAGTTTATTTAGATAGGTACCCTCTTTGATAGGGATTAATGTTGTTCGTCTGTCAAATCTGTCCACCCTGATCAGCAGCAATAATTTAACAAACATTAATATTGTCTAACCCTTGTCTTACAATCTCAAAAAACTTCCGTCTAATCTTCAATCACATTAGGCTTGGTTGAGGAGTTGAGTTGAGTGGGGCTTGCTGCTCTTCAACTTGTGTACTCTCTTGGGTAGTTAATAATTTGTCAAGTTTCTATCAACTGAAAGATGATGTAAATATGATTCAATAACTTTATTAATTTATTTTCCATTACAACAGTGATATAAACAATATTTACGAAAAAAGTAGTTAACGTATACAAAAAAAAAACGTATTAAAGATGAAATAGGGAAACCCTAAACATTGGAGAGGATGACGAATTCTTTTGAATTTAGGTTCTTTTGAAGTGTATAGGTATATCAGATGAACAAGAGGAAGTCTATACGTTTGGAAAAATTTATTTTCATCCTTGAAGAAAGGTAATGCAGTTCCAGCTCTTCCTTTTGGAAAAGGTAAAATTCACATCTAGCATACGTTTAAAGCCATCCTTTTTAATCAGAAAACACAATGCCCCGCAACTATTGATTCAGCTTGTAGTTACTCTAACAAATATCATGCAAATTACTTATCAGGGGCCTACCCACAGTTCTAAATGACGATGCGACCTCAGGAATTCAATTATTGATCTTCACGTATGGTAGACATTCTCTTTACTATAAAGTATGTAATTTTATATGAAAAATGTTTTATCGTACGAAGTATATTTAATTTTTTCTAGACGCTTGATGTCCAATGAACTGAGTTATCCACATATATCAAATATGAAATTAAGATGAATCTACTAATCAAGTAGTTTGTAATAATTCTCACCACGACATCGATCGTAGTTAAGGCCTTTGCTCAAGTGCAAAGTCAGTTGCAAAGAATACTTGGTTAGATTCAATGAAGTGCACTTGAAAATGCAAGGAAGGATAGTTTATTTCAATTTGCCAAGAAGAATGTTTAGTAAGTTCACAATTATTTGCAAGTAAATGTTTCACTGCTAGAATTCTTTAGGGTACAATGAAAGCAACCAAAGTAAATCCGAGCTATTCATTGTACCTCTCCTGATAAAAAGAATCAAATGTTACATCATGGTTTATGTGTATGATTTGACCTAAGCTGGTTTCAATGGGCCATATATAGTAGTAGTGTTCATAATTCCATTAGCCAGTCACACCTATCGACACCCCGTGAGGTATATAGCTATAATAGGGGCATCTACTTTTAATTTTAATAGTATCAATGACCTCTTTTGAAATAGGTCTACAATCAATCCCTAAGTAGTTTACTTCCCTAAAATTTCATTACAAATGAGTGTCTTGGGCACCGACTACGACCCTTCTTTATTTTGAAGTCCTAGATGGTTTGGCAAATCATTAGAATCTCAATTGGGTGTTGAAATCATCAATTTTTTTTATTGAAATACCTATAATGCCCCTAATTACCCCTCAACAAAAAATAAAAAATTTCAAAAATATCCTTCACACAAGAACTGAACCAAATAACATCGAATGAAATTGATTTGAAAGCTCAAGAATTGCTCAAGTGAAAACAATGAGGAACTATAAATCCAGACGTTTTAATTAAGTTAATTCATTGGGGGTGAGCTAATAAGGAAATTATCTCTTATGAATACATTATTTTCGGCATAAATGACATGTTTTTTATCAGACTGAACCAAATAATAAATTAGTCGAAGTACACATAAACTAGTCTAGACACCTTGATCATTTAATCAAAATAAAAAAGAAATTGACTTGAATATGTTTCAATACTTGCTTATGACTCGGAGAAAAGATAAATACGGATATTGAGCTTGCACATATAGAGCAGCAGTATGGTGTAAACTCCAGGACCCAGGACCCAGGACCCGGTGACCCAGGACGTTTAATTTCGATCTTCATTGTTTACTCCCTAACTTAACAAATAGTTATAATTAGCAAATAATTGTAAATATTTATCTACATTGTTGTGGGTCCGGTATAACTTCATTCGTCGTTAAAATACTTTTACCAAATACCAAAGGTGCCCAAACTTGGCCACAAGTATAAGTTAGACCACAAGCACTGTAGTGGATTTTTGTTTCCGTCGGTGGCTCGATTGGCTTGAACTCATCTGACCATCACCACTTCCTTTCCCGCAAGCGGGTCCTCTTCGGGCCCTTTAACTACTGACCGTAGCACATTGGTCAGTCTCGTCACTCGTCCCAAAGGCAAAGCCCATTTTGTAGCTTCTGATCATGCTCTCAGCCAATCATATTCTTCCACGTAAGCATTGATGGAGATATGGTACCGCAGTTAGGGCACGGAAATGCAAGAAAAACGTGGTGGGTTCCGAGTATAATGGGTTCTTCACACGTGGCATATAATTATTGGTCAGATGAATTATTCTTCTACTCAGATCTTTCCAGTTGTACAGTTAAGAGAAAAGTGATCTATTTGTCTTTTAGACAATGGTCTCGTCAAATCTTTCCCCATCTGTCCAAGTTTCTGTTTGGTAGGTCCAACCCCCAAACAACTCGTATCTATCCATGCACAACCCTATAGAGCACATATATTTGGATGAATATTACGTATGTCCTCACCCGGGCGATTAATCCAATGAATAAGAACTCAAACTTTCTTATTTAAAAATACTCCAGTTCAAAAAATATCACATATGCTTTCCACTTATGCTTTCAATTTTAAAATGACCCGCATCTGTTGATTTTCTTTGTTCAATCCTTAAATCATGTACATTGTAATGATCGGTCTCTTTCGTTCAAATTTTCGTCAAAACATAAGTTATAACAATCATTTCTTTCAACTAAATCTTTGTTTAAACAAATGTTTTAGAGTATTAGTATTTAACCAACGAGTTTTTGGTCCAATAATATTCTTTACCTTATGAAGATTTTGGTTTCTTGAGATCAAGGGTTCAAGTCCTCTTCCCTCCTCCCCCTCCCCCTACCCCTACCCCTAAAAAATAAAAAAAGAGTAATACTATTTGAACCTAAAAATCTGACCTAATTTACCGATATAATAATATGGTTTCAATAGAACCATTAGATCAACACCAAGTTTCAATGTTTGATGGTTCTTACAGTTAATCCAAAGGTGATAGTGAATTAGATCAGTAAATTAAATTTCAATAGCATTGCTCTACAATTAAAGGTTCCTAATAATTAGTTCAATCTGCTACCTAATCTTTTTGTTTTTTTTAGTCTTTTTTGGTTTGTTTGGAAAGGAAAATTTGATAAAAAGACAAATTTTTACGATTTACATTACAAGGATATTTAAGGTGAGATAATTGAAAGTTGAGTGGCCAAATTGATAGTTGTTTCAAAGTTTGGGGGGCATCAATCATATTTGGCCGAAAATTTATAGAAATATTATTGGTTGGTGTTGGAATGGCAACGTGTCCATCTTAGGCCCTATTGGCCGAAGAATTTTCCACATTACATCCACAGATCTTTCATTAGGACTTGTAGGATTGTTACTGAGTAACCACAATGCCAGCCTTGTCCAAAGAAGATGTGGTAGAAGGCCCACCAATATTGAGGGCCCATCTTGGAGGCATTAGCCTATCTGACATAACATATATCAACATCATCTCTTGGCTGTCAAACAGGTATACTGAGTGTAGTGATTGGGCTGCAATAACTCCATGCTAGATGTGGATAACCACCACTTCATTTTTGCTATGCTTGACTTAGAATTAGATGTATTGTCAATACAAAGTTTCTTATAGGTTTTAGCTACAACACTCTACACTGAGAGAGAGAGAGAGAGAGGTTCTCTGTCCAAAATCTCTACTTCCTTCACAATCAACTTTACCACAAGGTCATGGAATGACAACATTAGTTAGGCACTTAAACACAAAAATGTAATAAAAGTCAAGGCAAAATTACAAGCTATTGTAGGTGTATTTTTTATTTGTAGGGCTTCCCTAGCTTGCACTGTATAGGAGTAAGAATATGTAGGAAATGATATGCTAGACGTTAAAAGAAGGGGCAGGAAGATATGAAAGACGAACAACAATAACAATTATAAGGTTGGGTAGAGGGAGATGGGCCAGATGGCGGGTCCAATGACGGCTTGCCCTTAGCTGTATGGAAAGCAAAGCTGGTGGTGATGGTCCTTTCCATTTGAATGCAGCAGTCCCCATCCCCCCCCCCCCCCCACAAAAAAAAAAAAAAAACCCCAAAAAAATATATATATAAGGCCGTGACTTCTCTTTTCTTCAGACACATGTACACAAACATATACAGATAATACCACTCTATAGCACAATTATGGCCACATTGACATACCCATCCATGAGAAACGCCATTGTCTCTCTTTCCTTACATGTCCTGGCCCTTTCGTTCTCTGTCCAGGGGCGACCGGCCACGTTTCTGCAGGACTTTCGGATTACCTGGTCCGACTACCATATCCGGCAAATCGATGGAGGGAGGGCCATTCAACTTGTTCTAGACCAAAGTTCAGGTACAACTTTTCGTGGGGTCCCTTGTTATGTTTATTATGGATCAATGAAATTCAGTTGGATTATGATTATAGATAACCTTGTATTTGCTTTTTAGGATGTGGGTTTGCCTCCAAGAACCAGTACTTGTTTGGACGTGTTAGCATGAAGATCAAACTCATTCCTGGGGACTCTGCCGGCACTGTTACCGCCTTTTATGTGAGTTTTATTTTTCTATTCAAATGCTTGAGTTTCAAGAGTATAGAGAGTAGTTTATTATCCTTTCAATTATTGGATTTTTGTTTAGTTGCTTCAAATTTTGTGGCAGATGAATTCGGACACAGATACAATACGCGATGAGTTAGATTTTGAGTTTTTGGGGAATCGTACAGGACAACCTTACACTGTTCAAACCAATATCTATGCCCACGGGAAGGGCGACAGAGAACAAAGGGTCAACCTTTGGTTTGATCCTGCAGCAGAGTTCCACACTTACACAATTCTTTGGAACCATCGTCATGTTGTGTAAGTTGGTTCATTATTTCAATAACCATTCATTACTAATGATATATTTTCCCTTTTCGTGTTATCATCACTGTTACGAAATAAATTCAATTCAAGTCAATAAAGTTTTATCAGCATACGAGCCTAATGGTATATATTGTTTTTTTATGTTTGTGGTGTAGTTTCTCTGTGGATGATGTGCCAATCAGGGTTTACAAGAACAATGAAGCAAAAGGAATTCCATACCCTAAGTTCCAACCAATGGGAGTCTACTCCACATTGTGGGAAGCCGATGATTGGGCTACAAGAGGTGGACTCGAGAAGATAGATTGGAGCAAAGCTCCCTTTTATGCATACTACAAGGACTTTGACATTGAAGGATGTCCCAGGCCTGGACCAGAAACATGTGCCTCAAACCCTAATAACTGGTGGGAAGGAGTTGCATACCAACAACTTAACCCCGTTGAAGCTAGAAGATACCGGTGGGTTCGCATGAACCACATGATCTACGATTATTGTACCGATAAATCACGATACCCTGTCACTCCACCGGAGTGCTTGGCAGGAATCTAAGCTCCATGCAACGGACCACCATCAATTTGTTGGTAAATATGTATTTATATTTGCGTAAATTCACATATAGACAACTTATATATTGCGTTAAAAGCCATGCAACTCAAGGGGCATGGAGAGAATAAGATTATTATTGTGTGGACATCAAAGCTAAGTTTATGAGATTTGTGGGTAAGAGTCAATGTAACGTCATTGTTGTATTGTTTTGTTTGTATTTGCTGTACACTGTGAGCCAATAATGCTTTTTGCGTGATTGTGAAAAGAATGTAATACTTTATAGTATCAGTTTTTCAACTTAGGTTTTATGTGTATGCTTTTAGTCAGTGACGGGTCTGATCTTCCATTGTATGTTATCCCAATCGGATGGTCATGATTGAGCAATGTATATCAAGTGGGCCCCTTCTCCAATTATGTAATATGGACCCCGTTTGGCAATGGGTACTTGGAAAACATTAATCAGACGTGGGTGCAAAGGACTTTCATGCATTGTCATGGGAGTTGAAATAGTGGACCAGAAGTACTCATGGAGAGTCGGTCCTATTTCTGTTAGGAGATATGTCTTATTGTCTCCGACTGACCAAAGTTCCAAATAGCTGCTCACTTTGTTCACATTGACCACTCCTTCCAGTACCATTCCCAAAATTCAGACATATAGTAAGATCTATGAATCTGAGTTCAGACGACATTAATGAGTCTAAATTTATTCTTAAGACGTTTTGATAATTGTCAAGGGGATCTGCTAGACCCGTTCAATGAGTTGGAAACAAAAAAAAAACTGACATGAACCAATAAGCGCACAATCAACCTAGCTTAGGCTAGGGACCCCAGCCAATATATTCAGGCATTAATGTAAAGGGAACCCAGACTATAAAAGCCTTGACTGAAGCCCCTCATGCAATATATATAAACTACCGTTGATTTCGTATCTAAATACCCTTTATAATATCAAAAATTAAAAATTGTTCATGAAATATTTGTTAAAAAAATTTTCTTTAATCATGTAACTTAAGATTAAATGAACAAAAGTAAAATAAGAGAGATAAGGGAAAAATAAGAGAAATGTAACTGATTTAATGGGATTGTCTAGCGTTGAGGGTTGTGCAATGAAAAAAACGTTTTTTAGCAAGAAAAAAATTTGGAGATGAATTTTGTACCATCAGATTAAAATAGAATAAGATTAAATTAATCTTAACTATTGTTGTATTTTATAAGTTGAGTTTCAATTTTTTAATTGTAATATATATATATATATATAGGTTCAGACCGATATTGAGAAATATTTATGGGTGGAAGAAAAACATGAAAAGTTATAAATTGGATTTGTTTGATGACTGATATGCTCAAAATCAACTCAAGGGCTAGGGGCCGGATAAAGACTGAAACAGAAGACACATCATTGAAAACCTAAGCATCATCACCGATTGATCGCAACACAAGGATGAAAAATTTAATTCATGAGTGCTTGACCAGTGAATTTTGGGCCGAGGTTACTGATGAGTGCCTTCCGTGTGGAGCGCTGGTTACATATAAGTATAGCCCAATTAAGATGAGACGCAGCGGACGGTCAGAGGCCAAATCGGGCCACCACTTGGGATGAGAATGATTCAGCCCATATGCATCATTTTATTAAAGCACTCTAGTCCAATAGGGTCCTTCGTACTACAATGGCCAATGAATGCCCCAAAAAAAAGGTAGAGAAAACCTGGTGCACCCTTGAAAATGCATACTTTAGGCTTTGTGAATCTAATGCTAAATATTTTAGAGGAATTTTAATGGATAGTTTAAGTGGTAACAGAGATGAACTGTAAATTCAGACGTATTGAATTTGGATTTTGATAATTCTTTCTAACTAGATTATGAGAAATTTATCTCTCATGAATACCCTAATTCTGGCATAAATAATCCACCTTTTACTGAACTGGAGAAGGGATTAGTCACGGTACTTATTAACTAACTAGAACATTCCTGATCATTAACTAAAAAAAAAAAAATTAGATGAGGTGGTGTATACACTCTTTATGCTGCCACTGTGGTCATCAAGAAAACAATACAAATATTTTGAAGGGAAATGATGCCTTGAAATCTAAAAATTTGACCTACATCATTGAATTAATGACATGTCAGTCGATATGGTTCAACAATACTGTGACAAAAGTAATGTTATTGAGACATAATTTATTGATCTAATGATGTGTCACTAGATATGATCCAACGGTTAAACTTCTTCATTTAGATCATGTTAGTAAACAAATCATTAGATCAAGTTATTATCTCAGTTATTTAAATCCTCAAAGAGTATTATTCTTGCTGTCATTAAAACTATTGGATTAATTGTTTCGGTTGTCGTAGATTAGGTCAGATTTTTAAATTTATTCCGTATTCAAAAAACAAACTTTTTACAGATCACCCTTTTTTTTTCTGTCTTTGATCCATATTATATTTTTCTCCCCCAGGTGAGAGATCAACTCTCATGTAAAAACTAGCAAGTCCATAAAACACCAAAAGAGAACAGTGGAGCAGCTCTGATGCTGAACCAGACAAGCACATAAGCATCCCAGTATTCATCCAACAGCTAGTCTACTTCGATTGCATCACATAATTATAAAAGCTTATCTCATGTTGAAAAGTGCTTAATATAATCACGCATGCATGGTATAAATTACACAATACTACCTCAATATTTCTTTTCCTATACTGTTTTGCTGATATTATATAAGAAAATTGCATCTGTATATGTTATTTTATTGTGTTATCCATTGCCCCTCTACATATCAAATTAAAGATGCAAATTCCATCCTTTCAATGTTTTTGTTAAGTAATACAAAGATGAAGCATGCGTATGTTGAATAAAAACATTGTCTAACCACCCAGACTTCACGCGTTTCATTTGATCTTTCTTAAAGATTTTGGTGTATTGATGTGGGTTTTTACCCATTGGCATCAAGAGTCAAGCCTAGGTCACGAGTTTGATTTGCGATAGATACGAGCTATACACTAACTTAAAATTACTGGTAGCATTCGGGGAAAACGATCACAGTTCTGGGCCAGAGTAATGACTCAACAGAGTGAGTTTTGCCAGGGACATCCACTTAAAAGTTCGATCATATTATATATGTTATGAACTAGCTACATAAAAAACCACAAAATTAATGGTAAGTTCTAATGTTAGCAACTATATTCAATGTAATTTCAATGGATTGAAAGTGAGTTTCATCTAACATTGGAAATCACAATTAATTCAATAGTTGGGTTTGATTTGTGTCTGTTTCAGTGGCTGAGGTTGTTGCCCATCGAAAAAGGTGGTTTTGAGGTCCTCCCCTGCACTCCCAAGCACTTCATGGTGAACACACTTTATCATAAGCATGCAACAAAGCCATTTCCTTTCCTTTTTCCTTCTATTCGAACAAGAGACAACCCATGCACAAACATGTCAGAGCTGGTCAAATTTCAATTTTCCTTAGACTATGTTATATGAAGAACCACATAGAAACAAGAGACGAGACATCCAAACAACAACAACATGCATGTATCCCAGATTCGTTAACACTTGAAGAAACAAACAACAATGGATAACAAAAAGAACTTAGACTCTCTCTCTCTATCTTTGTGCTCTGTAGCTACCTGTTATGCAGAGGATTTGCTCCTGTTGGCACACCTCTATTTTCTTCCAAAACACCATTGCCAGAACCATCGCAAGAAGAATTGAAAAGGTTGGTATGATTCGAAATCCCCCTAGCGACTGTAACAAATCTGAGGCTTGCGAAAATCAACAGAATCACTAAGAAGCTGAGTGCATCTGTGTTCGCCATATTCGCCATTCGATAGCCCGAAACCAAGCCTTAAATCCTTCGAAACTTACCAGACCAACACGATTGTAGAGAATTAGTTTAAAAACCTGCAATGGGAGAGCTTAAATTGAGGAGGAGTAAAAGAACTGCCAAAACTCGTGGATGCGATGCGATGCGATCATAGAGGACTTTGTAACGTTCTATTTGAACATCTGATGGCAAGAAGCTTTTGGGTCTACTCGAAATGTGAATAAGATAAGTCGGACATTCTCAGACGGTTCAACTAAAAAAAACAAGAAGCTTTTGGGACACAACATGCTCAAGTTTTTGTCGTCATTACTTTTCAAGTCATGAATGATGAAGAAAGAAGTAGCATTTTATAACATGCGTCCCCCCTCAAGCTAGTCAGGTACTTCGTATGTGGGTCACGTGTAGCACTTTCATTGCGTCACTTGAAGATCCCTTATTATAATTGTCTTTTACTGATGAGAATTTTAGGTTGTAAGCCAATCACGGAATAGATTGATTTATGCGGGTCTAATTTGAGAAGAATAACCTAATCATTACGACTATTAAATTCGTCGTAAGTTTTAAGGTTAAGTGAAATATCACAAGAAATTATAGACACTCATGAATAATTAACTACTTTGGTTTTAGCTTAAGCGAGGTCATTTGGTAAGCTAGTGAGACCGTCAAATTTGCCTGACAACTAAAAAGATCAACACAAATTGGATTAAATACAACATCAATCCCCGATCAAATATTGATCATATACATAATGAACCCGACACGTCACAAACGCAAGAATGACACAAGTTATATATAACAAAAAATCGACTATATACAATTATAAAAAATAAATTGAAAATGAATAAGACAATTGTTAACTATCCATCGGGAGGACCATTGATAGTCAAATTGTGAATTATCGAAAAATAAATTGAAGATTTTAGGTCATGTTGTCAATAAAAATATATTTTTCAAAAGTATAGTATAAAGATGCAACCACTTCAAGTTCGAGTTTTTGCAAAGGAATGTTAATTGTTCCATTGTCATGTACTATACAGTATAACAAATTTTTGTTAGATCTATTCAGGTTACGGATCTTGTGTGCCCTCCTACGGTTATACATAATTATTTTTTTAGTATTTTGTCTTCTAAATTTCAAATCGTACTTATTCTTTTCTCGCTCTTTATAATTTATGAATTTGT